CACATCTTGACAGTCAGGTAGGGCAGTCTACAGTGCTCAGCATATATAAGTACACCCCACACAAATCTCTCTTTTAAATTCATATTTTTAATAGGAAGCTTTACAATATTATATTTGTGCATATACATTAGATTAGTCAGTACTGAAGCCAAATCCGGAGCTTATCTAACAAAAAAACTTACCATAGCGGTCCAAAAACTAGAACACTCAAATGTATATGTTGTGTAATTGTGTAAAAAAAGTTGAAATTTTTTTAGCTTGTAATTTTTTTTGCAAAGTTTTGCTTGAATTAAATTTTATTATCTTTCAATTTCTTAATATGTTTGGTGAATAAAATATTATAAAAAAATAAATAAATCTGTTTTACAAATCTGTTTTGTTTAAATGCACCTAAATACATTGCCTATGTTCACTGAGAAACGGATACAAATATTCATCTTCAAAGTTTATTGTGCTCAATTATTCTGAACACTGTATCTTAATGGTTTGAACTGAACACTTTTATTGAACAGATTTTTTTTTTTTTGGTCCTACTGTAAGAATGGGTTTTAAACCACAGCGGTTCAAACTGTAGTTCTGCCAAATGACAAAAAAATTATCAGTATTGATGGTAAAAAACTAAACATTACTAGTCAAACCATTCTTCTGCAATCTCATACCAAAAACAGAAATAAGAGCAGTATTAATAGCTATAAATGTGGGAGAGCATAGGTTATGTGATTGTATTGTATTGCAATAAGGAGCAATTAAGTGTTAATGTTAAATCAAAAGTAATTCACAAATACTTGAAAATGAAATGATTTAACTACAATAATAGATAAATGACAATAAAGTGACAATAAAATGAGCAAGTAGGCCTCAAAGAGGCAGAGAAGATAGACTCCAGAAGAGGAGAGGAGTAGAGCAGGAGAGAAGCAGACCAGGAGAAGACAAGCCAGAAAAAGAGACAGAGCCCGAGTGTACCACCTATTTTGTATCTTTCTTGATCATGTGACTAAAGCCCAAATGCTGAGACATTCAAACTGACCAATCAACATATGACCACATCATAAAACCCCCAAAGTCCACACACCAGGCCCTGATCTTATCAGTATTTGCCTTTGGAGTCAGTATGGTCCTTCTTGAGTCAAAATTACATGTTTTGTCATATAAACAAATGTTCAGCCTCTTATACTACAAACAGTGAACTGATACCCTTTACGGGCAATCTGTCATTTCTGTTGAGCATGTGAACACAATGGCAAATCAACACTGTTTAAGAACAAATTTCAGTACCGATTGGTATCGAATTCCAGTATCGTGACAAGCCTACTGTTTGGGTGTTCTGTGTTTATCTGAGATAATTAGTACACCGAAATGTGTGTATTCCATACAAAGTATGAAGCTGATTGGTCAGTTCGTGTCATGTGACTCGCAGTGTGCTTGAAGCATTCTGAAAAGTTTAAATGCCTCCGTTGGAAATAACGAACTTGCATGCCGTAAAGACGTGCTAAGGCTGCCGTCAGTTGCGTTCTCCAGCAGTTGATCTTCTTCTTGCACATGCTGGATTCACTTTATTTGTTAACAAATGGGTTGCGGATTAATTTCTTGGCAGTTAATAGGTGTTTTACTTGGCCTTTTCCCCTCCGCAAAGAAACTGTCCAAAAACGTTCTTACTCATTTTGCTAGCTTGTTGGTTACATTTTGGCACCCAAGTGATCAAGATGTAACCAAAAGAATGCAGAAGATTGTTCAGACTTGAAAACTAAATAAAATAGAAATAATCAATGATTTCTTGTGCATCTTTGTACCAATTGATCCATGGACTGATTTGCGGCCTGAGGGATGGGCACCACTGCTTTAAAGGGTCACGAAACACCAAAACACATTTTTTGAGCTGTTGACAGTCGTATATGTGTCCCACACTGCTAAAAACACTTTTAGAACACCTATATTTCACTAAAAAGTGTAAATTGGTTGTTTTTGCGTTATTTCAAGCAAATTCGTACTTCCTGTTTGAAACGAATTTTTGAAGCTGCGTCACGGTCATGACATAATAGCGTGTATTCCAGCGTGCAGACTGGACGTCTGTGCCAGAGTGAGTTTTATTACGTCTTACAGTGTGATGCATTAATGCATGAGTAAGGCTTGGTTCAAACCAATCAGCGTGCTCTATCGTGCAACTTCATTAATATTCATTAGTGTCACCGTGTTTACGCCACAGAGACGCCACGTCGTGTTGGCAAAACAAGCGTGAAGTGTTGCTTTTATAGTTTGCTGCCATTAAGTTTCGTTTTCATTTTCTCTCTGTGAGAGCTCAGCTGGATCACGTGTGGATTAACAGTGTACGCGACGCTCGACGACAATAACTTACGTGTCTAAGGAGGAACATTGTTTACCTGAGAGCTGTTCTCATCTGCAAATCTTTTTACTTTGGAAAAAGTCAGAAAAGTGGGCGTGTCCAGCTCTGTTTAGGGGAGAGTGTCGGAGGAAGAAAAGAGGCTTGGTGTGGGAGTGTCTATTTGGGCGCGCTGAATTTCAGAGTCAAAACACACAACCACAGCGGACAATGTGACTGTGTTTACATGGACATCTGTAGTCGAATTATTTGCCAAATTATTAAATGGTGGACTTTAACTGCAGTTTGGCTCTTTCATTCAGGGAATTCATTCATGTCCCTCCCGACAAACGTGATACTTGATTCGAGGATCTGCTCTAAGCCTGTATTTTCATGCAATGTTTAATACCGCACGGCGAATGAGAGAAAAAAAAAACTTAGCATTTCCCGGAAACTTAGATGCACTCGGCAGGTAGCGTCAGAAAGCCGCGTGTGTTATTCCGGTCACAAAATCCAACACGAGGTTATAGTTTGGTTGTGGTGCTAAATTGTTTACAGTCGGTGCAATAGTTTGTTCGATACTAATAAAATACGAACTGAATAAACAAAGAGCACTGGTCGCTCACTTACCAAATCTGTAGAGACAGGACAATCCACAGCAACTAGAGCCGCGTCTTTACTAAGAGGAGACTACAAGCGAATCCGGATCTCAGCATTTGCAGATGAGAACAGCTCTCAGGTAAACAATAATCCTCCTTAGACACATAAGTTATTGTTGTCGAGCGTCGCGTACACTGTTAATCCACACGTGACTCCAGCTGCGCTCTCACAGAGAGAAAATGAAAACATAACTTAACGGCAGCAAACTATAAAAGCAACACTTCACGCATGTTTTGCCAATACAACGTGGCGTCTCTGTCGTGTAAACACGGTGACAGAAATGAATATTAATGAAGTTGCACAATAGAGCGCGCTGATTGGTTTGAACCAAGCTTTACTCGTGCATTAATGCAGCAGGCTATAAGACGTAATAAGACACACTCTGGCACAGACGTCCAGTCTGCACGCTGGAATACAACGCTATTATGTCATGACCGTGACGCAGCTTCAAAAATTTGTTTCAAACCGGAAGTACGAATTTGCTTGAAATAACGCAAAATCAACCAATTTACACTTTTTAGTGAAATATAGGTGTCCTAATAGTGTTTTTAGCAGTGTGGGACACATATACGACTGTCAACAGCTCAAAAAATGTGTTTTGGTGTTTCGTGACCCTTTAAACCATAAACAAGAAAAAACTGCAAGTATGAGCAGTGGTTTTGCTAAAACAAGCATCACTTTCACATTACATAATTACATAATATGGCAAGAGATTTCATGTCTGTGAAGCAACAGCTGCAAACCGTTCCAAATGTTTGTGTAACAGGAAAGTGTAACTTGTAATTTCGTTGTTCGTTTTTTATTACATTTATTTTTTTATGCTCGTTACACTCAATGTTAGATGGGAGTTTTTTATAGTCTTTATTTGTTATGATGAATATAATCATGTGTTGGCTTGACTAGTTTACAGCAATCAAACCGCACATACTCATTAAACCACAACTATAGTTTTCCTCTATTTACCTTTCTCTGAGCATTTATTACTTCATTAAACAAACTTTGAGCTTAACTCTCTCAAAATGAGCTGCAGTTTTTGGCCGAAGAGCACAGCTAGGTCTTTATTTCCAGTCCATTAGCGTTTGGGTGGTGGCATGAAACTGCAGATTTGTCCATTAAGATTTGAACCAGCTTCCTGCATGTAATGAGTAGAGTAAGATTAGCACGAGAAAGATGTGACGTTTGTTTTTGTGTCAGAATAGTTACATGATATTAGTGTATATACATCTGATCTGCATGTGGATGGATGTCAGTCTGAGCTCATTAACAGAGCTCAGTGCTGTGCTTATTTTGAGCTGGTAGTGATACGGGGTGCATGTTGGGTGGGCTGGTACTGTCTGCATGTGACCTTTTTCAGAGCTATAAACAAATCAGACATGCAAAAATGCCTTTAATCAGTAGGTATGTAAAAAAACAATACCCAGTGACTGATTCATTTATGTACACAACCAGTGGTTCAAACTTCACTGAGGCTACATTTAGTCACTCAGAAATACACAAAAACATGTTAAATATTGTTTAAATTTAAAATCAGTACTATTTAGTTAAATATTTTCAAAACATTATTCATTGCATGTTGAATTTTCAGCATCAATACTCAAGTCTCGAGTCTTCTCTGATGAATACTAATTACAACGATTATTTTAAATACTTTAAATGTCTCTTTTGATTCATTCAGTGCTTCCTCAATGAATAAAACTTAATTTCAGTGAAAAATAAATCTTACTGCCTGCCGACGTTTGACCATTGGTGTAAATGAAATACTTATTTGGGTTCTTAATATCCATTAAACCCATTGGTCATCATTAAACAAAGACTCAGAGGCTTATTTATAATATTAATCGAATCGTCCACCGGTTCTCGGTTTATCTGCACAGATTGTTCCTTCCAGATGCACAGCATCAGAGTGAATAGGAAATGGGACTGAAGATGTACGGTCTGTGTGTTTGGTTATACAAGCAGTCAGCTTGTATAATATTAAACGTGCTAATATTAATTTCACAGTCATGTTTCCTCTGTTCTACAGGTGAAGGTGAATATCCTTGGTGATGTGATCGATCAGGGCTCCACCAACCTGCGCATCGACGCTGCCGGCTTCAGTCCGCACGCTGCCATCTACTCCATCAGACCTGACGTGCGCTGCATCGTTCACATAAGCACACCGGCCACTGCTGCAGTAAGCTCTATTCATAGTTTTAGCACATTTCTAGCATGTTTTTAAGGTTGTTGTAATGTTTTAGCAAGTAGCTAACTTTTTTTAGCACATGTTAGCAAGTTCTAACAAATTACTCTAATGTTTCTAGCTTTATAGCACATTTTAAACATTTTGATAAGTTACCAACGGCATGTAGCATTTTATAAATTCCTAGCATGTTTGTAATATTTGAACAAGTTCTTGGCATGTTTATAACATCTGAACATGTTAGCTTGATAGCTTTTAGCACATTTCTAGCATGTTTTAAAGTTGTTGTCATCCTTTAAGATTTACATTTTACATTTACATTTAGTCATTTAGCAGACGCTTTTATCCAAAGCGACTTACAAATGAGGACAAGGAAGCAATTTACACAACTAAGAGCAACAATGAATAAGTGCTATAGGCAAGTTTCAGGTCTGTAAAGTCTAAGAAGGGAAGTATTAGTAGTATTAGTGTTTTTTTTTTTTTTTTTTTGGGTACAGTTAGTGTGATATTCAGAGAGGCAATTACAGATTAGGAAGTGTAGTGGAGACTAAATAGTTGAGTTTTTAGTCGTTTCTTGAAAGTAGCGAGTGACTCTGCTGTTCTGATGCAGTTAGGGAGATCATTCCACCAACTGGGCAGATTGAGCGTGAGCGAAAGTGATTTCTTCCCTCTTTGGGATGGAACCACGAGGCGACGTTCATTCACAGAACGCAGGTTTCTGGAGGGCACATAGATCTGCAGAAGTGAGAGCAGATAAGGAGCAAGGCCAGAAGTCACTTTGTAGGCAAACATCAGAGCTTTGAATTTGATGCGAGCAGCAACTGGCAGCCAGTGCAAACGGACTAGCAGCGGAGTGACATGTGCTCGTTTAGGTTCATTGAAGACCACTCGTGCTGCTGCGTTCTGGAGCAGTTGAAGAGGCTTGATAGAGTTAGCTGGAAGCCCAGCTAGTAGAGAGTTGCAGTAATCCAGTTTGGAGAGAACAAGAGCTTGAACAAGGAGTTGAGCTGCATGTTCAGATAAGAAGGGTCGGATCTTTCTGATGTTATAGAGATGTTGTTAATTGTTTGTTTAATGTTTTTAACAAGTTGCTACCTTTATTTTAGCACAATCCTAGCCTGTTTCTAGCTTTATAGCACATTTTAAACATTTTAATAAATTATCAGCAGCATATAACATTTAATAAATTACTAGCATGTTTGTAATATTTGAACAAGTTCTTGACATGTTTATAACATCTGAACATGTTAGCTTCATAGAATTGAGCACATTTCTAGCATGTTTTTTAAAATTGTTGTCATGCTTTAAAATATTGTTAATTGTATTGACATGTTTATAACATTTGAACATGATATCTTGATACATTTTAGCACATTTCTAGCATGTGTTTAAAGTTGTTTGTTTATTGTTTTTAGCAAGTAGCTACCTTTGTTTTAGCACATTGTTTGCAAGTTCTAGCAAATTACTAGCATGTTTCTAGCTTTATAGCACATTGCTAACATTTTAATAAGTTGCTAGCAACATGTAGAATTTTAATAAGTTCCTAACATGTTTGCATTGTTTGATCAAGTTCTTGGCATGTTTATGACATTTGAACATGTTGGCTTGATATCATTTTAGCACATTTGTAGCATGTTTTTTAAAGTTTTTTAAGTCATGTTTTAAGATGTTAATTGTTTATCATTTTTAGTAAGTTGCTACCTTTGTTTTAGCACATGATAAGCAAGTTCTAGCAAATTGCTAGCATGTTTCTAGCTTTATTGCACATTGTTATCATTTTAATAAGTTACTAGCAGCATGCAGCATTTTAACAAGCTCCTAGCATGTTTGTAATATTCAATCAAGTTCTTGGCACTTTTGTAACATTTGAATATGTCAGCATGTTTTATCATTTTGTTGGCAAGTTACTTGAATGTTTTAACATGTTGCTAGCATGTTTTTAACTCTTTATCTGATAGAATGTTTTTTGTTTAAGTTGTTCTAGTACATTCTAGAAATTAGTGAAGCTATTTGCTAGCAGGTTTTTACATATTGCTTGCACATTTTTAAACATGTTACTAATAGGGCTCAGCGATAAAACATTATTCATATTAAACACTTATCGCCTTCTCGTTCTGATGATAGAAAAAGGTTTACAATATACCTCTCATTAGCTTCGTTAAAGTGCATTAAAAAGTAAAGTTGATGAGTAAAGTGCCTGAAGTTAGTTTGCATGAACAATTCTGAAGTGTGTGCTGACTCTGAATCATAAACAAGGCTTTCATAGGTTATTACGGTAGTTTGATAATTAATAGTTCACAAGGTTATATTATGATAATTTTTCCAGCTTTATCGCCCACCCTATTTGTTGTCATATTTAACCATGTATCAGATGTCAGCGTTAGAGTGTGGGAAATTTCTTATTTGTTGTAGGAAAACTGTGCTATCAGTGATAGGATATAAAAATATGAAATATATAAAAATATCAGAAAAGTCTAAAGGTCTGACCAAAGTTTGGGGTTTACACGCTCGTTCACACTTTAAAAAAAAGAGAATTTTTTTTGTCTCGTTTTTAGTCGAAATATCTTTAATATAAAAAATATAAAATATAAAATATAAAAAAGTTAAATAATCTTGTTTTCATTCTGACATAACATTATTTCGCTTACACCATTGGCTGATTATTTAGCTTGTTTTAAGGGAAAACTCACTTAATTTTGCCATATTATTTCTTAAAACAAGACAATAGTTTTTGCTGGTCTGGAAAAAGCTTCTTGAATTAAGATTTTTTTGATATTTGGAGTAAGAAAAGCATTTTTTGCAGTGAATAGCTTTAGGAGAGGAGTTTCTTTCAGATATTTTAGTCTTAAAAAAACTATATTTTGACGTTTAAATGGGATAAAAGTACTTTTCCTTCCTTAAGCCAGTATAATTACTACTCCACTTTGACGTGCGCTGATCTCTTCTATCATATGTCAGGTGTCGTCTATGAAGTGCGGCCTTTTGCCCATCTCCCAGGAGGCTCTGATCCTGGGTGACATTGCCTACTACAACTACCAGGGCAGTCTGGATGAACAGGAGGAGCGTGTAGAGCTCCAGAAGGCTCTCGGCCCCACGGCGAAGGTAAACAACTCCTCTCTTGCAGCAAAAAATACCACTCTCTTGCATATATCCTTCAGATGTGGTTAAGTGTGACCACAAAAAATGCAGTTGGTATGTAAATGTGAAAGATATTTGTTTGTGTGTGTGCGTGCATTGCAGGTATTGGTTTTAAGGAATCATGGCATTGTAGCTCTCGGAGAGACCATTGAAGAGGCCTTTCACTACATTTACGGCGCTCAGTATGCCTGTGAAATTCAGGTAAAAAGTTCATGATGCTTATCAGGTTGGATACATCAACCTCATACACTCAGTACACTCATAAATATGACCTTAAGACTTGTAGATGTTAAGCCTTGTGTTTTTGTAGACATGCTTGTCCTTTTCGTTTTAATTTTTGTGATCATTTTGGCTGTGTTAAATCAAACTGCTGTTTTTTTTTACTCAAAGTATATATATTTTAGCCTCATTTCCTTTCATACGTTTTCATACATTACACTAGAGACCAAAATTGGTGAGCTTGTCACGATAAGTCATTTATGTTGTGCAATATATTGTCATTGAAACTATTGCGATAAGTGTTATTATTGTCGTTTAAAACCAGTTTATGTCTTTTTATACACTCACTGGCCACTCTATTAGGTACATGTTATTCATACAGGATTGGGCCCCTTTTGCCTTTAGAACTGCCAAAAAAAAGTGTGTGAAAGAAAAAAATAACTATATTATGTTATAATTTATTATACTACAACCACCAGCCTGAACTGTTTAAACACAGCAGGGGGGGATTCATGCTTTCCTCATGACTCCTTATGTCTACTATTGTCCAATTTTGGTGTGCCTGTTCAATTTGTAGCCTTAGCTTTCTTCTCTTAGCTGACAGGATTGACACCAGCTGTGGTCTTAAGCTGTTGTAGCCCATCAGCCTCAAGGTTGTACGTGTTGTGTGTTCAGAGATGCTTTTCTCCAAACCTCGTTGTATATCAGTTGTACTGTTGCCTTTATATCAGCTTGAACCAGTCTGGCCATTCTCCTCTGACCTCTGGCATTAACAAGGCATTTATGCCCACTCACTGGATATATATATTTTTTTGCTCCATTCTCTGTTAACCCTAGAGATGGTGGTGCATGAAAATCCCAGTGGATCAGCAGTTTCTGAAATACTCAGACCAGCACGTGTGATCCATGCCACGTTCAAAGTCACTTAAATCCCTTTTCTTCCCCATTCTGATGCTCGGTTTGAACTGCAGCAGATCGTCTTGGCCATGTCTACATGGCTAAATGCATTGCTGTCATGTGATTGGTTGATTAGAAATTTGCGTTAATGAGCAGTTGAGCACTAATGTACCTAATAAAGTGGCCAGTGAGTGTATAATTATTAAACAACAGCATATAAAAAGGGTTAACAAGGGTTAAGACACAAATATTTAAACTACTTTTAAAAAGATTTTTTTTATTCATACTGCAAGAATAAATGACACTGACACTGTTAACTAAACAGTTAATCATCTTAATTTCTATTAAGTTATCCTGAGCTGATATTTCATGTCGTTCTGATGTTTAATTGTTTTCATTTTGCATTAATTTCTATTGCATTTTAAACCATGTTAATTGTGTAAAAGCAGCAGAGTAAAAGCCACAACAGTGTTTCTTCTAGGATTTTTTCCAGCTGTGACGGCAGGCCTTCTTTACACAGATCTGCCAACTACCTGTAGCGTTATTTCAATGACAAATGTCGTGAGCGCAGTATTACAAGTCGAGATCATCATTCAGCATTTCACCTTAAAGGGTTAAACAAATAAAGCACAGCACTACTACAGTTACAGAAAAGTTTGCGCTGTTAAAATTCAATTAACTTTTAATACGTTTTGGTGCGATTATCACCCGCTATAAAAATAAAAAAACATGAATGAATGTTTTGAGTGAAAAGCTGTAATGTAGCCATGGCGGGATCAATTTTGGCATGGCACCCCTCCATGGAAGAAGTAATGTAGCGGAAACCATGCATAATAAACAGAGTAAAAGCCATAATACACTTAAAAAAACAGCCATAAAAAACTGAAACAAAGTATATAATGTTTTAAATTCTGGTACATTCCAGGAATTCAAATTGGTAGGAGAGTTGTGTAGTTCTAGTAAATTGAGTTCTGTTCAGTTTAGTATTCAGTTAAGTATAAAACTTTAAACAAAGTATAATTTGTCTAAAAATGTCCTTGTTTTTTTTTTCTAGGTGAATGCGTTCTCCTGTGCTGGAGGAATGGAGAACCTGATCGTGTTGGATCTGGAGAAGTTTAAAGCTCGTACACAGGGAGTGGCACAAGTTGGAGTCAACATGGGCTCTCAGCAGAAGTGGAGGTTGGGAGAGCTGGAGTTTGAGTCACTCATGAGGATGCTGGACAACCTGGTATGTATTGACTTAAGATCAAGTAGTCTATTCATGATCCTGACTATGAGTTCCATATCTAGTAATCTATAATGACAGACAACGGAGTAGTGAAGACATAAAACAAACAGTTACTCACATTTGTGAGGTGCAGAACTACTGTTTGATTCAATAGAGTCAGCACAACGCATTTACTTCTGAAAGTACACCATCAAACTGAGCCTTGTTTGAAAACACCTGTAAAATTAATTGGAAAAAGGACTAAGTTCTCACTGCCAGTCTTTTTGCAACATCCTGTTGTCTACATAGGTCTGCATTTGACTTTTTTTGTGTTTTAATTACTACAATGTAAATCAGTGAGCGGAACTAAACAGGCAATGATGTACAAGTAGGCATTGATCTTCTAAGGAGGCGGGGTTTGAACACTAATACATAATAAAGTCAGATTTGCTTCTACATACACTGTTTTGAGTCAAGTTGAGCTTCATTGTCATTTCACTGCATGGGTGGACATCCAGTTAAACAAATTGTTGTGTCTCACAGGTTTCAAGTTATTTTGTTGTAAACATAGTTAAGTGATACATTGTTTCTCGAATCTATCATGCCCATGAACATTCGCAAACCCTATCGCAAACTTGTGTGATTGGACCTCCATTTCTAGACATGTAGTTTGTTCCTGGCTGTGTTCTGTGTTATCCCCTATGCCCTTTTCCTTTCAGACACTTCACCATCTATTCTGAATTATTATAAAAGCTTAATGTTGTCTTGCTTATAATTTGCTTTAAACGTTTTAAAACAGTTCAGTTTTAACAATTTTCAGATTGACAATTATGCTTCTTTAATAGGGTGTCCACGGGATTTTTAGTTGCAAAAACAAAACCTCTGACTCTAAAAATTCTTAAATTTACTGAAATGTTGTGTTGTAGGTTTTAAGTCATTATTCTATATCCATTTAAAGTTACCCAATCAGGCCGACACCCATCCTATTACCAACAATAGAATCATCTCAATAGAACTTTTCTTTTTTGACTTAACTTTAACTTATATTTATGGGTTAATTTGTTTGGTATGGGTTAATTATCTTCCTCACATTAACATTTGTTCAAAAGTTCTCCATGTATTTGCATCTTACTGGTGGAATAACATACAGTTTATTTATTTATAGATTTTAAAACCTACCTATTGTTTTTGTTGAATCAAATGCATCTATACAACTACATTTTCATTAGAATTGTATTTATTATTTTCAATGGCCTTAAAAGATCTTCAAAAGTCTTAAATTTGACTTGATGAAACCTGCAACAACCCAGAGTCTTTTATGCCATTTTGAACACAGATGAGGCTCATGAAGAACAGTGACTTTTATATTTCTATATGAGCAATATCACACTCGTAGCAGTGCAATGTGGTTGTATATCGATATCGGTGGGATGCTTAGTGTCCCACCAGTGATGTTAAACAGTCACATTGCAGTGCTACGAGTGTGATATTTTGTTTATACAACAGTTAAATGGCATAACTGTGTATATAAAAAAGAAAATCTAACACTGAGAGTCTAAAAACTCTTTTGTATGGGTTGTCTATATTCTACATTGTCTACATTCTTCCGGCATTCATTCACATCTGCAGCTGACCATCAGAACAGCCGAAACCATTGCTAATTCACAAGTCATTTTAGAGTTTGTATTTGAATGATTTTCTAGCATAATATCTAAAGTGCTGACAAAACTTTTGCTCACATTTTAGGATTATAAAACTGAGCAGCAAGAAAGGTCATCGGTCTACAGAGATTTCCCTTTATTTCTATGTTGTAATCAGGATATCACAATAATCAACCTTAAAAAAGCCAAAGCAAACATTACCAGTTTCTGTGGCATAAATACAGCCATACAAATACAAAAGTGAGCGAGATCGACTTAAAATGTCAGTTACCTGATTTATATTGATTTGCTGTAGTTTGAACCTTGCGCTGAGAAAATGCTATTTTTCTTACCTAAGGACTTATCCTTTGTTGCCATTTTGTGGCGGAACATCACCCAGCACTTTATTTGGTCAGCTCACACAGGCTGATGGCGGCCAATGCACCGAATCCATTGCTCAGAAATTATAAATATTTAAAAATAGGCACTATTCTCATAAATAAACTGCATAGTTTCCATCTAAACAACTACATTCTTGCCTAAAAAAGCCTCAAAGTTACATTATGTTGACCAACAGCAGCAATATTTGTCAAACTGTACAGTGTTTTCTGCTTGTTGCTGTATGTGGGCAAAGTAATACAGAAGGGTGAAGAGGCAGTATGAGTAGTGTTATTTGCAGAATATCACACGGCTATCAACCAATCAGATTCAAGCACCAGACAGAACTGTTGTAGAAATATATGTGATGAATAGTGATCTTAACATTTGCACTAGTTGTGTATCAAATTCATTGTTGTATTATTTAGAAAAATCTGCATCTCTAAACATCTTAATTCAATATTAATCATTTCAATTAAAATAAATAAATAAATAAATAAATAAAAGAAACAAACTGCTCTGGTGGTTATTAAAAGCATGTAGCATCAAGCCAAAATAAGCCTACTAAAAGTGAAAGTGAAACTACTCTCATTCACAAAATTTCACAAACTGCAAATGTGTGATGCTTATACAGAATTCGCATTAGAATATATAAATCACAGCACATTTTGTATGACATAATGTATACAGTCTGCTATTACACAGATAAAGTGGACGAGTGTATTTGAACCCCAAGCAAAAAAAAGTGTGCTGACAAAAAAAAAAGACTGCTAAGTGACTGCTTTACTACTAGTCCAACTGTGTTTGAGGGGAACAGTCACAGCGAAGAAACTGGAAAATCGCTTCGTTCTTCATCTTTTTTTATTATTTTCCACCCCTTCCTCTCCTATTAGGCAGACAAAAGCTGACAGATGTAAAGAGAAACAAAGTGCCAGAGCGATCCTCTCTTCTCAGTGTCCGTCTCTTTCTCCAGCTGTGCAGACTGCGCTGTTTTTCTCTCTGTCCGTGAGAGAGGAATGCAGGCATGTGGAAAGTGTGTTTTCTCAGCCGCGGAGACGAATAGAGTGATGTGGAAGATGATAATGATATGGTGTGTCGCTCAGAGAGCCGCCGCCGTCCGCTTCCACTGAACCCTGCTTCTCCTTGACTCTTTCTGGATGCTCTTACATAATGTGCTGGAAATGCAGACGGAGATTTAAAGACGGTGCCTTTGATAGTTGCCGATTCGTGCACATTCTGCAAACTGCCTGTTTCTAAGCTTGTTAGAGTTATATAAAAATATTTCACATTTTATTATAACGGTAATCCAGGTTATGACTAGTATTAAACCTAGGGCTTGACATTAACTTTTTTTCATCACCAGCCACTGTGGCTAGTAGTTTTCCAATGTTACTAGCCACTTGCCATTTTCACTAGGGATGTCCCGATACAATGTTTTAACTTCCGATACGATACTGATATTGCAACCTTCAATACGAACCGATACCGATACAAATCCGATACGATAATTAGCACAAATCATGAATACTTTATTTTTTACCTATTTCGTTGAGTGGAATGTATGAACGGCTAGATCAAACTGAAAACATAAGTCAGCAACAGTAAGTATGGAAAAAAACGACCAATTTATTAACTACTGGTTGCATAATTGTGAAGCTTTTACATTAGAATATAGAAAATTAAAGAATTAAAGAATAAATATTAAGACCCTAAAAAATATCTTAATTGAATAAACAAAAATATATTTTTTTAAAGTGCAAAATACTAATTAAAGGTCACTTCTATTATTTATTTTTTTCCTTCAGCAAATGGTAGAAAAAGCTGAGAGAAGGAACATAAGAAAAAAATATTAAATTATAATAATATAATTATAATTATATAATTATATTTAATTATAAAATAATATCTGTCACACCAGGCAGCAGAAATAGGGAGTTATTGTTATAAGTTATTGTTAAATAATTAATAAAAATGTGGACCTACTTCCGATATTAATATTGAATCGGGACATCCCTAATTTTCACTAGCCACAATTTTGTTGTCGGGTAAATATATTTTACATGCATAAATTTGACTTTTGCATGGTAAAATTCTTTGATTAAGATTTTGGTATGTCCACATGCCTCATCATTTATTTAACTTTTTTGTTGTGTGTTGAGTATAATCTTGCTCAATGATCAACTATGTTTCATAGTGTGGCATTGCAATTATTTCTCATTTTAGATGACTTTTCAAGGCTCAACACAAAGAATTTACCTTTTTTTCTGGCCACAGCAAACAAATTATTTCCTTGCCACAAATTTTAAATGTGTCAAAACAAACAAAATATAGCTGTAAACACACTGTTTATTTAACAAAAATGTTTTTTTTTAACTATTTACATTTTTAAAAAATCATTGTCATATATCTAATGTGGCAATAATTAAACCATTAAAAAAAAAATCTTTAAGCAAATGAAATGTGCGATAATAAGGAGGATCACACACACACGGTTAACGTTAACCCCTTTAATAATCTGTTTCAGAATCTCAAGCTCTCTAAAGTAGCAGGACTGTGGGTGCACACATCACATTTGTTTCAAGTCTATTTCAAAGAAAGCAATATGTATAGTAGTTTATAGAATATAACTATTCTAATTGTAATATATATTGACATGTTTTAGATTGGGTTTTGTTTATTTTAAAATGACAGCATTATTATATTTTAAGCTCTGTAAGAAATTAGTTCTGGAATCTAGTTTTTACAGGTCTGCATTACAGGATCTGCATTCACGGAAATCCACAGATTATTTAGGCTATTGTTGAGTATTTTTGTACTTATATAAACGTGTGTAAATATATATGTATTCAGTATATACATTCATTTCAGTAATATAATTGAGTAACTGGCAAATGATTATATGATTTTAGACAGGACAGTTCGTAACATGTTTTAGATAATCGTTCTGTTTATTTTTAAATAATATTATTGTATATTTAAGCTCTGTAAGGAATAAATTATTATGTATTAACCAAATTTAAAATTAATATTGTATTGTCCTTACTCTTACTAGATTTTTTTTTTTTTGTAATTTTTATTATATAAATATATCAAGAATACAGTAATTCCTTAGTTACTTTAATTTGGGTTTAATTTGAATTTTTCCTTTTTTATCTTTACAATTATCACTATTAGATTTTTTTAACATGTTTGTATTTATAGAATTTAATACTTATTTTAACAATATAAATAGTAAGAGTAGGTGTTGTTATAGGACCTTGACCTTATTATTCACGGATGAGCAGGCGCAGACATTGGAACCTTTTTGTGTCAAGACTTCCGATCTTATTCACTTCCATTGATTTTTAGACTTTAAAAATGGCTCGTTATGCTGCTTGATGTTGCAAACTGATGCTATCCTATTATATCATTCTACTTTTTATGTGTACTCATGAACACACTTCTTTGTCACTCATTCATTGATGAGTGAACCAGAAGTTCAAAAACAAGTGCACTTCCGCATTGCAGAATTAAGTCAATAGGACAGTAGCTTGACAGGAATCAAAGTTGGAAAGAGAGAGGTGGGGGACGGATCAAGGAAATTTCATAAGCCAGGTCTTGAATGCGGGAACCAAAAGTGCAATGCTGCTATATGTTAATCTTGTGTTTTATAGACGTGTGTGTTTTTTTTTCCCGTCTTCCAGGGATACAGGACTGGCTACACATACCGGCACCCCATCGTGCGGGAGAAACCCCGACACAAGAGCGAAGTGGAGATTCCTGCAACAGTGACGGCCTTCATGTTCGATGAGGATGACGCTCCACGCTTCCCTCTAAAGCTCCTGCAGCAGCGGCAGCAGAGAGAGAAAACACGCTGGCTCAACTCTCCAAACTGCTACATGAAGGTGAACGTGGCGGACGGCGCCAGCGAAGAGAACCGACGCACCAAGACCACGGTGAGACTGAGACTAAAATGATGTTTTCGTGAATCTAGTTTTTACAAGCCTGCATGTTACATTGGCATTGGTGATATCTTGAACCACACAGAATCTGAGACTATTATTGAGGCTGTTTATTTACATGTGTAAATATATATTTATTCAGTATTTATATTCATTTCAGTAATATTATTGAATAGTAGGTAAATGTTTATATGATTTATTTACTGTAGAGTATGTAAAGAAATATCATATATTAACTTGTTATATGAAAAGCTTGCTTTGTTTGCCAAACAAGTGGTTCTGATTGGATTTGCATTGTAAATTTTAAATAAGTTTAAAGCTGTTTTTATTTTATTTCATGTGTTAAGGTTTTAGTTACTAGACTCCTAAAATCCTTCCACATGAATCCGCAGATTTTTTTCAAAATTCTGTGCAGGGATAGCAATAATTGTCCACAGATTCTGTCAGGCACTGCTGCTATCATTCATTCATTCATTCATTTTCCTTCGGCTTAGTCTCTTATTTATGAGGGGTTGCCACGGTGGAGTGAACTGCCAACTATTCGGGCAAATGTTTTAGGCAGTGGGATTTCCTTTTAGCCACAACTCATTACTGGGAAAACTGCTGATATCTTGTTGTTTAATAAACCGGCAAAAATTCTCCTCACTATAAGAATTAGTTTTACCACAATATAGTTATAAACTTTGAATCTGAATCTGTGCAATCTATCAATATACAAAACAGTTTTGTGTTTGCATGAGTCTGTTTACAGAGATTACACAAATTTACTGATATACTTGAACTCTAAATTCACTTCATGTTCTTAGTCGAGTGTTTAAAGTCACTTCATATTATGACCAGACATTTTTCACAGCACAGAATAAGGAAGAAATCATGCTATATTTTGTTCTATTTTGTATTCTAGACTGAAATAAAGGCTGGGTCGATTAGCATTGCATTATAAAAAATACTTTTATTATTAATATAAAAACTCCCAGGATGGTTTGAAAGACAGATCAAACAATATAATAATATAATATAACAATATATGTCTTCTTTTTGGATATTTTTTACTTCTGTGATGCCTATGTGGAGTTAATGTGTGTGTTTACTGCCTAGCCCCAGTATGAATGAAACAGAAACTGCATTAAGTGTGTGCTCAGAACACACTGTTTCTTAACTTTTAGTGGATACATATGAATTGTCATCATTGATATTGTTACGTTGTTAAAAGAAACTTGGCTGCTATAAATGTTTAAGTTCAATCAAATTAAAACTAAACCAAATTCGTCATTTCTACTTGCATCAATTAAACAAATAAAATATATTTATTGATATAAATAAATACATTTGAAACTGTTAAATGTACTAAAAGAAGTTAAAGTAACGTAAAAGCATTTGTTGTCGTGTCTTTTTGATCATGTATTATTTGTTTATTTATTACACTGTATCGCAATAAATACAGAAAATACTGTGAGATAGTATTAGGTCCTCATCGGCCATCCCTAATGCTGAAAGAAAGAGGATCTCTAAAATAGTAAATCTGTCATGTCAGACAGTCGTCTGGTGTATTTTTGCGTAGGAGCAAGAATGTGGTTATTTCCTGAGCATACCTGACAGTCTCGGTGAAGAAGATATGAGCTCATATTTCTGTCCTCACAGATGCACTTTAAAAGCCTCATAACTTCTGTCAGTTTACTGGAGAACGACGCTCTGTTAAGGACTCTAACGCCAAATAAACAGTTTTTTGCTGCCCTCTAGTGGACGTGACGTTTGCATTACACTTTTGGGCTCTGAAATATTTATGGATTCCTTTCTTGCTTTGTATTTTTTTTTTTACTTTTATTTTTATTTAATTTAGCAATTTTAAAATACAAAAAAGACTAAAATAAAGAAAGAACAGAACAAACAGGTCACATTTTAATAGTTGTGTTAAATTTTTTGTAATCAAAAAACATTTACTAATATCTAAATATTATTAAAATCTTTATCAATAAATACTATGTAATGTCAGCAAAATCTTACATAGAAATTGTTTAAGATGAAATTATTAATGTAATAACATTTTTTTCTTTTAAATGAAGTGTCATTTGGTATAAATTATTTCAATAAGTTTTAATAATCAAGAACGCATGTCTGCTTAATTCAATTCATAATATGTGTAAGCAGTTATTACATTTTATTTATAGATGTGTAAATTCAAAAGGTCTAGATCAGAGATGCCCAAAGTTGGCCCATGATAACCTTTCATTTGGTCCGCCATCTGAAAAGAGGGAGAATGATGGGGATGGTTTAGGTATTGTCGTTTCAAATTTAATGTAATCTGTTATTTGTTCGTTTTAATTGTTAAGCTACAAAGAAATCTAGCTGAAATTAAATGTTTCAATTTAAATGCTGTAATTTAGTTTAAAATGTGCATACTGTCACTCTATATATAGAGGACAATGCAGAGACTTTGGTGAGCCAATCAAGGCAAAGGCAGATTCTGCTTGACTAAGTTAATGTATTCAGCGCTGAACTCTACTGTGTTGTAAATGTGATTGCTTATGTCTTTATTCCAAGTTATAATTAAAATGTTATACTGGATTAGTTAATATAATTCAAATTTATGTTTTCTATTCATTTTTAAATGTTATGAATCAATTAGGAAATTACTTATGGCAAATTTAATGAAAAATAGTTTAGTAAATTTATCTTTAGCCCAATGCTGTCAATGATATTTAGTTTTGTCCCTTTGTACGAAAACATTTGGGCATTCTGGTCTAGATAAAAATCTATCTTTACATATTTTAATTAATTTTATTTAATTTTTTTAAATTATTAATAGTAAAAATAAAAAAAACTGATTCATAGAGTGCATTAGTCTCTTTCCTGTCTTCCAAACATGCTAGTTTAGGAAGCTTTTTCTCCCTATTGCAATTTTAACATGCAGTCTTGGTTGAAGTGCTATAAGCCATGAACAAATCAACCTGTTATGATGTCATTTACAACATCACAAACTTTGATGAACATATGCAAACGTGAGACCAAAAGATAACAGTACAAGACGGAACTACAATCCCATGAAGCATTGAGAATTTTATTCCAAATAAAAACACATTGTTTTCACTGCGAATTGATTGGTGGAACGTTCTTTCCAGTGCCATGATGATGCGTGATGGTGTTTCATTCTTATCTTTCCAGTGGATGAAGTCTGATGATGGGGGAAATGCTAGCGGGACTCCGATCCGTATTGAAGATCCCAACCAGTTTGTCCCTCTGAACACAAACCCCAGTGAAGTCCTGCAGAAGAGAAATAAGGTCAGCTTTGCATGCAAACAGACATAAAAGTAGTATTACGTAAATATCCACAATGCGCTGAATGACACATATCATCATCCATATTTTGATGTTGGATTTTCTCAAAAATATATTTAAAACATTAAAATTGATACTTTTTGTTGCATTTAAATTAGTCTTGGGTGGTATCAGATACCTCGGTATCTGATATTACCGTGCATAATAAAAAAATTATGACATAAGGCTCTGACAGCATCACCAAACTGTTGGCTTGTGCCTAAACCATTTAGAAACTAAATACCGTATATGCGACCTTACGTTCGCGGTCACCTGTTTGTCTTGTTCGTATTAGAGATCTGCGCGGAACGCTCTTCCTCTTTTTCATTCACACACACACACACACAAACACACACATAGAGACAGCACCAATTAACACACAGCATCACGCTTTCTGTCATTCACACACACACACACATAAACACCATCCCACCCGTGCTCGCTCGGTAGCGATATTGTTAGACCGTGCGCCCGCTCCATTTCAAATTACTCCAGAGTTACCGACCACTCCCACTCTTTATTTGGAAATTTATTCCTGCAACGCAGGAAATCTGGTTAAGTCCCGCGGGAATGCAGACCTCTATTTCGTATTTACCAAGTCTCCCTTCTCATTCGGTTGAAACCGGAAATACTGCCAAACTGCAGGTCACTTGGTGCGCGACTCGCCATCTCACCTCACCTCTCTCTCTCTCCTCCACACTGTCTCGTGATGACAACCACGCATACGCATTTGTAGGCATTAAATAATATTTATCATTTTAATACTTGTCTCCTATTTAAGTGCATTGTTTTTTATGATGGTATAACCGACACTTGCTATTTTTAGATCCCACAGTATACCATATTACCGTATTACCACCCAAGCCTAATTTAAATACTTAATTTGCATTTACAGTGACTTTTAAAATTTTTTTCTGATAAAGCAATTTTAAAATGTAAAATGAAAATGCAAAATAAAGACCAATTCAATTTTAAGGACAATTTAAGTAAAAGCAAAGGATAATATTATAGTCATTCATGTAAAAATTGGAGCTCAGATTGGATACTGTTGTTTTGGGTTTACTTTATGATGAAAGAATTCGTTTGAGCAACTGTTTACATTCCAGGATCTCTTATGCACCACTTTGTTAGAAACACTTCCATGTTTCTGGTTGTACTGATAGCTCTTTTATATATTTGTATACTTTGTACTTTTTCTCTACAGCCACATATTCTATATGGAAAGTTCTATTTCTTCATATTTTACACTACCTGACAAAAGTCTTCTTGTCAACCCCAGTTGTAAGAGCAACAAATAAATACTTCTAAAAGTGGCAGAAAGTCGATTTTTCATATGAATCATCTATTGACCTGCATCCAAATCATCACAAATACTGCAGAAGACCTATATTGGAACCTACATGGACCCAAGATTTTTACAGAAATCAAGTTTGGTGAAGGACAAATCATGATTTGGGGTTACATTCACTATGGGGGAGTGCGAGAGTTCTGCAGAGAGGATGGCAACATCAACAGCCTGAGGTATCAAGACATTGGTGCTGCCCATTACTTTACAAACCACAGGAGAGGGGAAATTCTTCAGCAGAATAGCGCTCCTTCTCATACTTCAGTCTCCACGTCAAAGTTCCTGAAAGCAAGGAAGGTCAAGGTGCTCCAGGATTGGTCAGCCCAGTCACCAAACATGAACATTATTGAGCATGTCTGGGGTAAAATGAAGGAGGAGGCATTGAAGATGAATCCAAAGTATCTTAATAAACTCTGGGAGTCTTGTTAGGTGACGAGACTTTTGTCTAAGCAAAGTCAGACCTTACTGTCCTAATTAAAAAAATTATTAAAAAACAGGCATGATCATACTTTATTTTGGTAAAATAAGTGTAATCTGGAGGCCTTTGCCTTTCATGTAAGCCACTTCTGATACCAAATGATCAGCTAGAAGTTATTATTTGTTGTTCCTAAAACTTAGATAGAGGTAAAGACTTTTGTCAGGTAGTGTGGATTCTCTTGTTATTATTATATTATTTTTCTATTGTTGTTACTATTTCAAGTTTGTGAATGGTCGTGTATACTGTGTGTAGATAACTGCTATGTTCATATATGGTCTTTCCGGTGCCCGGAAGAACACAGTTTCCCTATCCGGGTGGTTGTACAAGTTGGTGATGTTATGAGCAGCCAAGCACGTGAAAGCTAAAATAAAGTAAGCCTATTGTTCCTGATAACTGTCTCCATTTTTCATATCAACAAACTACATGGTGTCAGAAGTAAAGAAGAAATAATGGCCGAGGGATTTCGCCGACCAGACCCGCTGATATTCGACGGCAATATAGCTGAAAACTGGCGAAAATTCGAATTGGAGTTCGACATATTCATCGCCGCAGCTCACAGCGATAAGCCAGAAAAAACCAAAGCCTACATACTCCTCAATCTTGCGGGACCAGAGGCGATCGAGAGAGAGCGTTCGTTCACATACGCTCCAGCGTTACTGGCAGCCGATGGTCAAGATGTAATCACGCCAGCGGAGTCAAGAGAGGATCCAGAATGTTTAAAACGGAAATTCAGAGAAGTCTGTAATCCGGAGACAAATGTGACGATGGAGAGACATTCATTTAATACCAGGAATCAAAAACCAGGAGAAACTATCGAAGCTTATGTGAGTACACTTAGAAATAAAGCAAAAACATGTAACTTTGGTGCCCTCACAGACGAATTAATCAGAGACAGACTAGTGTGTGGCATAGACAATGATAGCGTGAGAAGAGTGCTGCTCAGAGAAAGTGATCTGACGCTTACAAAAGCGATTAAGATATGCCAAATCAGCGAATTGACCGAACAGCACACGAAAGTGCTGGCCGCACCGCGTAGCGGGCTTGCGAGCGTCGACGCAATACACTTCAATGCAAAGGGGAGAAAAAAGGCAGTTGAGCACCAGCAGCGAAAACACATGAGTGGGACAAAGAACATTGTCAACTGTAAAAATTGTGGTGGAAATCATCCAGCAAAACGTGATCAATGCAAAGCTTTTGGACAACAATGTCACCGTTGTAAAAAGTTTAATCATTTCATGTCCCAATGCAAATCTGCGTCATACGACAATTTCAAATCCATTCATCAAATCACTGACGCAAACACAGACAGTAGCGAAGAGTCATTTCATATCGATGGACTGTGTCTGGGTGCCAGTGAAATAGATGCAGTTAGTCATAACAGGATAAACAAGCAAGAAATACATTGCAGCCTGACAGTAAATGGCAAGCCACTTGAGCTTAAAATTGACACCGGAGCAAAGTGTAATGTCATCTCAACTGAGACATACCAAACACTGAGACATGATGAGAAAATCCAGGAAAAGTCAAAAACAACATTAGTGGCTTATGGAGGCACTGTGATTCAAACACAAGGAACGGTGATGATGCAATGCTGGACTAGCAAACAAAAATCACATATGTTGGAGTTTCACGTTGTTGATAAAAATGTCAAATCATTGCTGGGCCTGCCAGACTGTTTAAAAATGGACTTGATATCCCTTAAGGAAGAAGTGCATGGAATTGATCTCAACAAAAATCCAAGTTTGCCACAAGAAATATTTACAGAATATGCTGACCTCTTTGATGATAAGCTAGGCACCTTACCAGTGACATATTCGATGAAGATTAACCCGGACATTACTCCTGTGGTCCGCCCCCCTCGCCGAATACCTGTGGCGATGCGGGATAAAGTGGAAGCTGAATTAAAAAACATGACAAAGCTGGGGGTAATAACACCCATTTCAGAGCCCACACAGTGGGTGTCCTCAATGGTTGCCACACATAAGAAAGACACTGACATATTTGACTGGAACAGTCAACAGTACCTAGTGCTAGTTGATTCATACTCTGGCTGGTTTGAGATAAATTCACTTACAAACATATCCTCACAAAACATCATCAGCAAATTAAAAAGGCACTTCTCTGTGCATGGCATTCCCCAAAAGCTTATCACCGATAATGGCACGCAGTTCACAAGCCAGATTTTCAGAGACTTTGCAAGTTCATGGGACTTTTGTCACATCACTAGTAGTCCTGAATACCCTCAGGCGAATGGCCTCGCAGAGAGAGCTGTTCGTAGTGCGAAGCGCCTGCTTGAAACTACCAAGAGGGATGGGACGGACTTGTATTTGAATTTGCTAAACATCCGCAACATTCCTCGGGATAAGATCCTGGGTTCACCAGCACAGAGACTGATGTCCAGGGTAACACGTACCAATTTGCCAATCAGCAAACAGATGCTGAAACCAAGGACGAAGGACACAGTGAAGGTAAAAACACAACTTTCAAAAAAGAGACAAATGCAAAAAATGTCCTACGACAAAAAGAGCAAGCCGCTCTCCCCACTACATGAATCCCAAGTTGTAAGGATGCAAACAACAAAAGGACACGACAAAATTGGAGTTGTCAGAACCCCTCTTGTCAAGCCCAGATCGTATATTGTGGAGTCCGATGGCAAAGAGTACAGGAGAAATCGTCGACATCTGCTTCCTGTAAAAGAACCACTACCACACTGCAGACAGGCCGATCTGGAGGACTTGTTGTCACAACTTCATTCTATGCCAGACAGCAACAGCCCACCTAAAGATGCTGTGCGTACGGAAGAGAACATTCCACCTGAGCCAACTGATCAAAAGTTGCCTTATCGTACTAGATATGGTCGGGTTTCAAAGCCTAATCCAAAGTACTTTGACTAAATGTTGTTAAAATCAACATAAAGAACATATTATTGCAGAGAGTAATTCTGATAGTTTATTGTTATTTTCAGTTGCAATGCAAGTTTTGCTATTTCTATAAGTTACCAAGACATTTGTAAAGTTGTAAAAAGTATACTCTTAGAGGGAGAACAAAAAACTAAAGAAAGGGGATGTAGATAACTGCTATGTTCATATATGGTCTTTCCGGTGCCCGGAAGAACACAGTTTCCCTATCCGGGTGGTTGTACAAGTTGGTGATGTTATGAGCAGCCAAGCACGTGAAAGCTAAAATAAAGTAAGCCTATTGTTCCTGATAACTGTCTCCATTTTTCATATCAACAAACTACACTGTGTATAACTGTATGTGACTAATTAAATTTAAATTTGATATGAATTTGCTACAGTAGCATGGCACACATAAACTCAAAACACTGGAAAACAAATTCCACACAGTGAGCATGGAAAAATAGTGTTTCATAGACAGAACGCAAAATAATAACTCGATAACTCGACCCAAATGCACAAATCAGACTTTTGGATTAACTGTCTTATTTCACATTTTCTTCAATGACAATGGGATTTAAGAAGCGTTTTCTTTTCTGTTCCCCAGATTCGTGAACAGAACCGCTTTGATGTAATGACAGCAGGACCGCAGTCTCAGAAGCTGGCAGGGATTGTGGTGGAGAGACCTCCGGTGAGTCACAACTCTGTTTATTATTATCAATCTCAAGCTGGTCATAGACTGCACAGACAGCCTTGTCACTAGGGGGCGCCAGATCCTCTCAGACTTTTAAACTGTGTCTGAGGATCAGCCTCTTTCTAATAGAGAAATCAGCATCAGTCTGTAGATGCAGATTGTAAAGCAGGGTCTTATGAAGCTCTGTTTTTCTCTTTAAGGGACAGTCGCCTGTTCAGGTAAACTCCCAGGGTGTTTTTGTATGTCGTTATCTCACATTTTTCAGTTTTCAGTAGTCTGCATGAAGTGACTGTAGTTTTGGATTTGCAGTGTCTACGCTTCACGTTTTTTGTTTTGTTGATATTAGCAGATACATTTTTTTTTATATATATAATGTTGATCAAAGATTAATCACATCTGAATTAAAAGTTTGTTTTGACACAATATGTGTGTATATATTATATATAGTGGAGGGCAATAAGTTTTGAACACGTCACCATTTTTGCCAGAAAACATATTTCTAAAGGTGCTGTTGACTTGAATTTTTCACATTTGGTAACAACCAAAGAAATCCATATATGCAAAGAAAACAAATTAAATTAGTTTACAAATAATGTTATGCGATGAAATGAAATGACACGGGTACAAATAGTGAACACACGAAGAAAGGGAGGTGTAGAAAGACAGTGAATGCCCAGACAGCAGCTGAAATCTCTCAGTAGCTCTTCAGCGACCCTCTGCCCTTTGTCATTGTAAATTAATATTAGTTGCATCAGTCTAACATCTACATTAGCAGAAGGATGAAGATGAAACCAGAGTGGACATTTCAGCAAGACAATAGCCCCTTTCTCACAGTGAGACCATTAAATATCCAGAAATGTTTTCCGGAAAAGACCATTTACACATCCAATCTAAAATACCGGTAAATTCTGACATCAATATCCAGAAATGAGCTCTACACAGCTACGCTTGTATTTGTAAACATAGAAGGGGTCGGGCTTTTCTTGATAGTTTCACTTTTATTTAGCATTCATGCAGCTGCTTTGTGAGACATCTAAAGGCAGAAACGTGAACCGCAGCTAAATGTGTACACACTTGACTACATTACAAATTATGTGGATAGATAAGAGTTGTAAACAACTTATTTGAAAACATATGGAGGAACACTTTCATAAAATATGTGTGGGTGCTAGCGCTCAGCGGCTCTTTCGCGTTCACACGCAACTGAAGCAGAGCTTGAAGGTAAAAAACAGCAGGTTTATCATAAGCATTTTATCCATATTTGTTTACATAGTTGGCATTAAGAACGAACATAGAAATTTTATCTAACATCAAGCAGCTAAATGGGTCTGGAAAAATATTCAAAGGCTTTTATTTTTGTAAACTGCGTGAACATGAATGCGTCTGAGTGTTCTGATTGGCTAAAGTAGACATCTCACATCAAGACGTGAACGCACTCTTTCTGGCGATCTTCCTTCTGCGTTCACACAGCGTTGCTTTGCAGCAAATTACAGGTAATGTTACAACTTCTCTTTCCGGAAAATAGCTGGAACGAATTTACCGATATTTTCAAAAAGGGTCTGTTCACACATACAGACCTTTCAGGAAAATTGCTGGTAATTTTCCATAAAGGTCTGTATGTGTAAAAGAGGCTAATGATCCAAAACACAGCCAAGGACACTCTCAAATGCTTTCAGAGAAAGAAAATAAAGCTGTAGAATGGCCCAGCCAATCACCTGATCTGAATCCAATCGAAAAAAAAAATTTAAAGATCAGATTCGATAGACGAGACCCACAGAACCATCAAGATTTTCACACTGTTGAAGTCTGTGAAAAACTCACACCTGAGCAATGCATGTGACTTCATTCTCCATATGAGAGGCATCTTTAAGCTGCCATCACCAAAAAAAAATTTTTTATTTGAAGTATTAAATACATTTCAGTAGTTCAGTACTTTCTCTTGTGTCAATTCATTTTTATTACACACAACTCATTTTTCAGATTTTTCTTGTTTTATTTTTATGTTTGTATTGTTTGGGTTTTTACCAAAATCTGATTCAATTTCATGTCAACAGCTCCTTTAGAATTATTATTCCCAGGAAAAAAAAAAAAACATGTTTTCAAATAAGTGTTCAGTAATTATTTTCCCTGCTGTATATGTATTATGTATATGATATACACATGCATATAAACGAAACTATAAAAAACAATATTGTTACATAGCCATTTGTATTATATACATATATATTTTTAATGTATAAACATTAATAAACATTTTCTTAAATCAATGCATGCATGTGTATTTATATATCCATAATAAATATACACAACTCACACACACATGGATATTGTCAAAAAACTTTTTATTTAATGTTTGCCCAACACTAGTATTTTCTGTTTCTAAATATGCAGTCATTACCATGTCTGATGGTCTGTATGTTTTTGTCATTGTTATGCTTCATATCATTACCGATGTGTGGTTCTGGTGTCTTATTTGGTATCTCTGCTCTGCCCACACACACATTTGCAGCCGTACATGGGAAATGATGAGGAGGAGACAGGGGCACTTCCTCCAAACCCCTTCAGCGAGCTGAACGAGAAAGAGGAGCATCAGCGGAGACTCCGAATAGACGGTAAAGCATCATCACGTGTCCCTCATACACTCACTTTACACTAATATTTAAATGTGATGGTAAAGACAACGAGACAATTGATGTTTCATCCGTCATCCATTCAATTGATGGATGACAGACAGATAATAGCTGGAAGAATGACTTGAATCCATGACAGATAGATTGATAGATGGATAAATAAATAAATGAATGGCAGATAAAGATGGATGGATGACAGATTGATAGATGGATAAATAGATGATTGACAGAAATGGAAGGATGACAGACAGACAGAGACGGACTGACGGATGGATGGATGGATGGATGGATGGATGGATGGATGCATGGATGGATGGATGGATGGATGGTAGATAGATAGACATGGGTGGATGGATAGATGGATGGATGGAAAGATGAATGACAGACATGTATGGATGGATAGATGACAGATATTTAGATAAATGGATGGATAATTAGAGGGATGGTTGAATGACGGATAGAAATGGATGGATGGATGGATGGATCCACGGATGGATGACAGATATTGATGGATGACAGACATTTGGATGGATGGAAAGATAGACAGATGGATGGATGGCTGAATAAATATATGGATGGATGGTTACAGAGATGGATGAATGACAGTTATGGGTGGGTGCATGGTTAATGAGATGGGTGAAAAAATGGATGAATGACAGGGATGGATGGATGGATGGATAAATAGATGGATGAATGACAGTTATGAATGGGTGCATGGTTAGAGAGATGGATGAATGAATGACAATTGGATGGATGACAGATAGACATAGATATTTAGATGGATGGTTAGAGAGATGGACAGATGGCAGATGGGCATAGATGCATGGATGGATGAATAAATGAATGGATGGATGGTTAGAGAGATGGATGGATGACAGATAGACATTGATTAATGACAGACAGACATGGATGGATAGATGACAGACAGATATTTATATGGATGGATGACAGAGAGACATAGATGGATAAATGGATGGATAGATAATTGAATGACAGATATAGAAGGATGGGTGGAATGTTAGAGAGATGGATGGAATACAGATAGACGTATAGATAGATGGATGGCTGGAATGAATAAATCAATTAATGGATGGATGGATGGATAAATGAATGGCAGATAGACAGATGAATGGGTGGTTAGAGAGATGGATGGATGAATGACAGATATGGATGGATGGATGGATGGATGGATGGATGGATGGATGGATGGATGGATGGATGGTTAGAGAGATTGATGGATGACAGGTAGACATGGATGAATGAATGACAGGTAGTCAGATATTCAGTTGGATTGATTTTTAGAAGGATGGATGATAGATCGATGGATGGATGGATGGATGGATAGATGGATGGATGGATGGATGGATGGATGGATAGATAGATAGATAGATAGATAGATAGATAGATAGATAGATAGATAGATAGATAGATAGATAGATAGATAGATAGATAGATAGATAGATAGATAGATAGATAGATAATTGACAGAGCTAGACAGATGGATGATGGTTAGAGATAGATGAATGACAGACATGGATGAATGAATGACAGATGTGGACGGATGGTTAATTGGATGGATGGAAGACAGATAGACAGATATTCAGATGGATTGATGGTTAGAATGAATGGATGACCGATAGACATGAATGAATGATTGACGGATGTGGATTGATGGTTAGAAAGATGGATGAATGGATGAATAAATAAATAGATGAATGACAGAGATTGATTGATGGATTGATGGATGGATGGATGGTTAGAGAGATAGATGGATGACAGATAGGCATATGGATGGATGATTAATGATGACAGATATTTAGATGGACAGACAGACAGACAGACAGTCAGATTAATGTGGTCTTGGTGAGAATATAGACTTGTTCTCGTCCTCCAACTCTTCCACACCACTGCAAACTGATAAGCCCAGAGCATGTTGTCTGTTCAACACACCTCACTTCCTGTTGTGAATGCGCCAGTCAATGCTAATGCTGTTCCTCCTCTAAGTGTGAGCTCCACTGAACTAACATGAGAAACACACACAGAGTGTATTGTGTGAATGTGCTGCATGTTCACTGTGTGCTTCTCTAACTGTGTGTCTCCTGTTCACTAACCTCACGCTGCCCGACTCCAGCAGATGAAGAGCAGCTCACGTCAGACGACGCTTCCACGCTCTCTCAGTCTGTGTCTCCACAACACACTCCAGCCAAAGAAGGTAGAAGAGAGTCTGTGTGTGTGCTATTCAGCTACAAGCATGCACATATGAACATTAACAGCACGTGCTCCACAACTAAATACATCGTTTAATTAAGGTTTATTTCTACAGGTTGATCCTGATCACTTTCATGCAGTTTGCTACTCAAACCAGTGTCGTGGTTGTTTTATAGCATAGTTTCATGTTCACATTATGAATTTGTATGATCTCATAAGTAGGTGTTTGTGCAGTCTTGATTTTTCCATAATCAGTCAATCAATCAATCAATCGTTATTTATACAGCACCTTACTCCCACAAAGGTAAATTGTTTTTACAAATTAATGTTAAAAATGAACTCATTTAGAAAATGTAAATAAGTTGATTTTCTGTGAGATCAGGTTAAATCTGGGTTTTAGTAAACATTTGTAATTAAGTAAGCAGTAAAGCTGAATAAAACTTCATTATATAAAAACTATATTATATTATATCATATTTATATTATATTATATCATATTATATTATATCATATAAAATTATATTATATTATATCATATTATATTATATTATATTATATTATTCTTTGGTTTATTCATTTTCTTTTTTTGGCTTAGTCCCTTTATTAATCAGGGGTCGCCACAGGGAAATGAACCGCAAACTTATCCAGCATATGTTTTGTGCAGCAGATGAGCTTCCAGCCGCAACCCATCGCTGGGAAACATCCATACACACTCATTTATACACATACACTATGGACAATTTAGCCTACCCAATTCACCTATAGCATATGTCTGGAAACCAGAGCACCTGGAAAAAACCCACGCAAACTCAGGGAGAACATGCAAACTCCAGCGACCTTCTTGCTGTGAGGCGACAGTGCTAACTTCTGAGCCACTGTGTCACCTATATTATATTATATTATATTATATTATATTATATTATATTATATTATATAAAAGAATATAAATATTGAATTAAATATTGCTATATTCATTTTATGTTAAATTGGAAAGACTCAAATGAAAGTTAATAAGCTGCCCTCACAACTAAATGAAGAAAGTACTGAAATGACTAAAGCTTAAAAATGAATAAAAGAACAAAAACATGTAACAAATGTAATAACATCTAAAAACAAATGAAAATAAAAAGTTACTTGAAAACAGACAGACTATTGTGTGAACTTTATAAAAAATATAAAGTTACTAAATTAGACAAATTAAAACTTAAAAGTTTAAGCTAAAAGAAATGATTACACTGTTTAATTATAACTAATTAGTAAATACTACAGCTAAGAAGAAATCCAATAAAATAAATAGCTAGATGAGCACATTAAAATTAAAATTAAAAGATAAGCTTAATGCAAATAAAATCTGAATGTAAACATTTTTATATACACTGTATATGCAAGTGTGTGTGTGTGTGTGTGTGTGTGTGTGTGTGTGTGTGTGTGTGTGTGTGTGTGTGTGTGTGTGTGTGTACATATACATATACACACACACACGCACACACAGTGCTCAACATAAATGAGTACTCCCCATTTTAAAATTGAATATTTATATCCATTTCTCAGTGAAAGCACACTGTCTGTCAAATGTTTGGGGTCAGTACGATTTTAAAAATGTTTTAAAATCAGCTTCTCCTGCTCACCATGGCTGCATCATAATTGTTCAAAAGTAGTTTATAATTTAATTTAATCATTTATTCCAGTGATTTTAATGATGAATTTTCAGCTTTATTACTTCAGTCTTCAGAGCCACATATCCTTCATATATCACTCTAATATTATTATTATTAACAGTAATAGTAATTAAAGCAATAATAGCCCCTTTCACACAGTGATACCGGTAAATATCCGGAAGATTTCCGGAACGACTTTACCGGTAAATTCAAAAAAGCGCTGTTCACACAGACGAGGACGTTACGGAACTTTTCCGGAAAAGAGCATTCACACATCCATCGCAAAATGCCGGTAAATTCTGACATCATTAACCAGAAATGACCTCTAAACTGCTGCGCTTGTGTTTGTAAACATTTGACTACATTACAAACTCTTTGGATAGATCAGTATTAAGTACAACTCCAATGAAAACATATAGAGGAACACTTTCGCATGTCGAGATGTTCATGATATGTGTGTGTGCTGCTGGCGCTCACGAGCACACGCAAAGCTTGAAGGTAAACAAACAACGGATTATCATAAACATTTTATCGATAATTATTTACACAGTTAGCATTAAGAAGGAACATAGAAACGTTATCTGCCAAACATCTAGCAGCTAAAGGTGTCTGGAAAAATATTCAAATGCTTTTATTCTCATAAACCGCGCGCACGTGAATGCGTCTGACTGTTCTGATTGGCTAAAGCAGGTGTCTCACTTCAGCACGTTCTAGACGTGGACGCGCTTTTTCCGACAATCTTCCTTCTGCATTCACACAGCGCAGCATTCCGGCAAATTACCGGTAATGTTACAACTTCTCTTTCCGGAAAATAGCCAGAACAAATTTACCGGTATTTTCAAAAAGGGCCTGTTCACACATACAACCTTTCCGGAAAATTGCAGGTAATTTTCTGGAAAGGTCTGTATGTGTGAAAGGGGCTATTGACTGGAGTAATAGTTTAATTTGAAACTACATACAATAAGAAAGCAGTTAGTAAGCATTTAACAATTAAATTTTTTTTTTTTTACATTTAACAAATGGCGCCTTGATGAATAGAATCGAAAATAGAAATAGAAAATATAATAGAAAAATAATAATAATACAACATGAAGAAAATAAAAAAGTAGGTCATATATAGGTCATATAGGTCAAGTGAAGGTCATATATTTTGGTGAATTTAAATAAAACAGATTTATTAAATGAATATATTTATTAAAATAATATTTTAGTCACCAAGCATATTTAGAAATCGAAAGGTAATACACTTAAATTCATGCGAAATATTGAGGGGTTACAAACTACAACATTTAAACTACATTTTAGATTTTTTTTTTTTTTTGTCTTAAATTTTGCTCTATTTAATTTTTTTATTTTATATTTTTCCCTTGCATATTAATTTAGGTGTGCTAATTTTGGACCGTTATCATAAGTTATTTTGTTAGATTAGCTCCAGATTTACCTTCAGTACTGACTAATCTTATGTATATGCACAAATATATTATTGTAAAGCTTCCTATAGAAAATACTAATCTAAATGAGAGATTCTTGAGGGATGTACTCATATATGTTAAGCACTGTGCATAATATATATATATATATATATATATATATATATATATATATATATATATATATATATATATATATATATATATAATAAAGCTAAAAATAAATAAAAATAAAATCACATAAAACATGTATACAAGGAATTAAACATTTAAAACAAATTTTATGTCAGTGTATTAATACTACCAGCTTTCCTGTGTGATTAATTCATTCTCACATGTTGTAATAGTCATTGTGCAAACATTTTGTCACCTTTTTATAAAGCAAGTCTTTCCTGTGTTAGACGTGCGAAGTGGTCAACAGGAAGAGCTGCACACACTCAGACCGTATATAAAGCACAGTAATACTGAGACTGATGGTGTGGAGAAACAGGATGCGTTTGCACCAGTTTCATCCAAATCAGACATTACTCAAGCACGACCGCCGATCAACCACAAATACGGCTATCTTATCATCATTAAAGCTCCCATGAAATAAAAATAAAGTTTTTTAGATGTAAGTATCAGTATTGTTAGTTTTCAGGATATCTATAAGCTAATGTGCCCCAAAACAGTGAAAGAATTCTCATTTAGAAGATATAAAACTGATATAAACATGTAAAGCTTGTAGTTTGTCACTTTCACCCAAATGGATCAACGGTTTTATTCCTGTCACCTCGCACTACAGTTTCTCATCAAATCATCAAGCAAATGCACCCCCTTCAAGATGCTTCTCATTTGCTTTTCATTTGATGCACTTGATCTCAACCACTCTCACTGGCAGAGCTGTGATGAAACCAACACTATTGGCTGTTAATTAAAAAGGGAGGAGCTACAATATGTCCCACCCTCTCTCTGTGTTTCGGTTGAGATTACATCAAACATTGAGTAAAAATGCAAATTTCGAACCACTTTAAGGGACATTTAATTAAAGCCTTCAATTATTTTTATTACTAAAAAGCTTTTTATTTAAATATTCATTCAGCTTTAGGAAAATATGCAGTTAAATCAATCAAAATAGGCAGTAAAACAATTCTGTATTTAAAGCTAAATGAAGCAATAATTAGTTCTTTTATACCGCTTTAAATCAATGTGATTTATGATTGCATTAGTAGTGGTTAACTCTTTTTAGGGTACTCATTGAAATACTTAAGGGAAGAAACATTAATAGGGTTATGGCCTGCCTGCAGCTTGAAAAATCCAGACATTCCCTTAAAATAAAACTAAGAATTTCTAAGTAACATGGAATCCATTGTTGAGCACTTTAACAGGAGAGCAGTAATTGAACCCTAGTAGAAACACCTCAAATCCCCCCTCATTGTTTTTGCAGAATTAACATGATGCTACAACTTCTTGTCAAAAAACAAAGTATACATATGTAAATATATATATATTTTAGTGGTCATAAATATTTTACATTTTAACTCTAAAAACACTTGTCAATAATTTAAGATGCATACAATAATAGATAAATAAAAGCAATTCTGTATTTAAAGCTAAATGAAGCAATACTTTATAAGTGATTGTTTTTTCACTTCAAATCAGCAGTATTTAGAATTGTATTAGTAGTAATAAACCCTTTATATGGCACTCTTTAAAATTCTCAATAGGGCTGATCTGTGGGTGGTTGCTAATGGAACGCAAGCTGGGTTCACCTGGTCAACTGAGCGAAGGTGTCTGATGTTGAAAGGCCCCAAACTCCCAGTGACCCCAGGATACATCACTGACAATGCATCCCAGTGCATCTAGATGATGTATCTTGCACACTTAGTCATATTATAATAAAATACATCAAGCAAAAAAAAATTTTAGCAAATACCTATTTCCGGCTCATAAACTTTGTTTTCCAAGTAACAATTTACAAATGTAAATATATGCTTTATAATAATTTGTACAGAAAAAAATCTGGCAAAAAAGTCATTTGATATATCAACATTCATATTTTTTTGTTCCTAATTATCTAACAATTTGCCGACCACAAACGTACCTTAAATATTTTTAACATTAAGCGGACTAAATATTAATTTTTAATTTTTCTTTTATTATCAGTATTGAAAGGTGAATTACTGTGTATTAAAGTGCCTGAAACTGCACTACTTTAAAAACGATACAACTTTTTCTCAGTTGTTTTTTCCCCCAAAATGTTGTATTAGTGCAAAAAAAGTGATTATAAAATATCAAAACATGAAGATAGAATACATTTTTTTTTGTTTGTTTGTTTATTTGTTTAAAAGCAGTTTTTTTTATTTGGATGCATGCTGTAATATGTTCATGTATTCACAGCAGAAAATATTGTGAGTGCTGTCAAATCATCAAAAATGCTGACTGGCAACTTAAAAAAATAATTATCTTATTAATTATTTTAAAATCATTTATAATAAAAGACCCTCAACATACAGTTTGTCTGGCTAATAAAAATCCAGTCTGATTAAGAGTCAAAACTATCCATTTTTTTTTCGATTGTGCTTTTACCATTTCAGTACAGGGACCAATTCTCACTGTTAACTAGTTTCTTATTTACTGCCTATTATTAAGATATTGGCTGTTTATTAGTACTTCAAAAGTGAATATTCTGCATAATCTTATTCTACATCCCTAATACCTAAATCAAACTACTAACTTAACTAATAACAATAAGCAGCAAAATAGGAATATTCATAGATAATAGTTTGTTATTAGCAAGATTTCCACCTTAAAATAAAGTGCGACCAAATGGCTTGTTGTAGCATGGATTAAATTGGTTTTATTTTTTCGTTTCTTCATCTAGAAAACCACACCGGCGTGATGCTGAATGGTAAAGACGATCACGGCGACGAGGACGAGCTCATCAAGCGCGTGAGTCAGCTGACCACCAGCTTGGAAAGCATGGAAATCAGCGTTCGCTCTGGAGAGAAGATTGAAGAGGCGCTGACGCCCGAAAGCTCGCCCTCCAAATCCCCCAACAAGAAGAAGAAGAAGTTCAGAACCCCGTCCTTCCTCAAGAAGAACAAAAAGAAAGAGAAAGTGGAGGCCTAAAGGAGAAGAAGCGAAAACACCCATGCCCACCGTGTCTGTCCTTCTGTTTGTCTTTGTGTGTTTTTAAGTTGGCTTGGTTAAGCGTGGCAGGCTATTTTGGGAGTCTATAACGAATAGATGGAGTTCCATCCGTTTTTATGAGATGTGCCATGTGTTTATGTGTGTTTTATACAGGAAGAGAAGCGAGGGAAACTCCTGGGAAACTGGCTTCTCTGGCCTGATGGACTAAATATGTTCTTGTACACATGATTTTATCTCGTCGATGAGCCCATACTGCATTGTTTTTGTTTATTAGATGACCGTACAGACCTTTTATGAGCCCCTTTTTCTATCTACCACTCATCTCTCATGTTGTCAGTTCTGGTTTCTCCAGCTGTAAGGTGGGTTTCATCGCAAACGCTACACAGGAGACGCTACAGAATCACACTGGAAACCGTTCTGGATTATTTTAACAGGGTTTGTTGTTATTTTGTCTGTGATTGTCGAAAGATTGGGTCTGAAATCCTGTGTAAAGCCACTCTAGTCCTGATCTTTGCCAAACAAAAACGCAAAAACAAAAAAAAAAGCAGAGCGATCACGTTTTAGTGACTTGTATTTTGGTTTCGCAAACATCCATTCTTCATCTCTTATTACAAAAGAAATACTTTGCTTTTTTAAAAATTGATGCAGTTTAGTTTTTATCCATTCAGTTTTATACTCGTTTCTATACTTTTAACTGCAAAAAAAAACTGAAAATGAAATCTTGAAGCATGTTTTGCTAGTCTGAATTTATAATGTAGCGGTGCCTGACTTCTCAGTTGTGTAATAGCGCAGATTACTAAACACATGTAACAAAAATATATGAAAACTGGAGTGATGTTTAATGATATATGAATATATAATATTTTTGTGCTGCACTTTTTAAATGGTATACATAACAAAAAACAAAACGAAAAGGACGAGTTTAGCGGTGGAAGAGCGAAACGAAAATATGAGAAATGTTTCACACAAAGGGTGGAGAAGGGAAATGTGTTGACATGTAAGGAAAAATATATATATTTGTAAAATGTATTTTTGAAAAAATGTCTCGGCCCCAAAGCAAGTCTATGGTGATTCTCATCACGTAACGCCATTAGTTGTTAAGAATATTTCGCCCCCTCCCCAAAATAAAATCAAATGTCATTGTTTACTCATGCTGTTATTTTACGATGGCCACAAAACGACAAATGTGAAAAATCTCCTGCTTGAACTCCTTCATATAATGGCATTAAATACCATCCAGCATCAAACTGAAAAAAAAAGCTAAATCATCAAATAATGTGAGTTCTGTGGTGTATAAGATAATGTTCAGTGAAAAAAACAAAACAAAAAGTATACATTATTTAACAAAAATCCTGACTTTGTGCCTTGTGTTGTGAGAAATTAAGATTAATGGAAGCACGATACAAAATACAGTACCTATGCTTTCTTTCTGAGGTAAATATACATATACATCTGTAAACTTCTTGTGTAGTTCAGGTACAGAGATTTAAAAAAATCCACACAGACATTTCTGTGTTGGATTGTATTGCAATTTTGTGTTGTAATAATCTTGATTGATAAAATCTGGGAATGTGTGAGGGTGTTCCAGGCAAATCTATGTAAACTGCGGCAGTAATAGTATTTCATGATACACAATCAAGGTCAGAATTAGTTTTGTTTGTTAAATACATTACATTTTGGGTTGTTTTTTACCAAACCCTATTAGAAAAAACAGAACTCTTGGAATATACCATATGTGTCATTAATAAAAGGGATAGTTCATCCAAAAATGAACTAAATTTCTTTAAAATATCTACTCACTCTTCACTCATTTAACTTCTTTATGAGTTGCTTTCTATTGTTGAACACAAATGACGATATTTTGAAGAACGCTGTAAACTTGTAGCCATTGACTTCCTTAGCATTTGTTTTTCCTAACCTGAAAAAATGATTCCTTGGATTTACTCAATTTGTTTACGGTAAGTGGTTGCAAACAATTTATATGAGCTAAATTTAAACAAAGTTGAACGTTACTAAATTTAATTTTTATGCATGAATTCAGCCTGTATAAATTGTTTGCAACCACTTACCTTAGAAATTAAATAAAACTAAATCCAATAAGTCATTTTTTTCAGTAAACTGTGGAAGTTAATGGTTCCCAGTTTTCAGTTTTATCTAAAATCACTTGTTTTATGTTTAACGGAATAAAAAGAAACTTGTAAAGCTTAAGAAATCTACTTAAGGGTGAGTAAATAGTATATCATTTTCATTTTTGGGTGAACTAACCCTTTAAAGCTATTTATGTCTTTATTTTTGGTGGTTCAACCATTAAATGTCTGAGCTTAAGCAGAGTTTTATTTGATATGTAGTTTAAAAATCAGGAGATCAGCAAAGTGAGTAAACAATGACTCCAAATGCAACCTCATTCACATTCACAGTCATGAATCACTTCATCGCCATCCAAAGCATCAGTGTTACCACAATTTACCTAAGAAACATTGTTTTTTTTTCTTTTTCTGTCTGAAACTGGATTTATTTACTCACCCTGTCTCCTGCTTGAGGTCAGAGGTGGCTTGTTTTGCCCAATTTGGTCGCTCCCTGCCCCACGAGACACCACTCTGGACAAAATGTACACCAAAAGCTGATCTCTAATGGCTAAGATTAGTGGTTGACCTCAGTTTGAACTCCGTCAGGCCCGAATGTGGTCGTGAAACGTCCCGCAGGGGAGGAGGCGAAACCACTGAGAGCGAGAGATATATATCCCAGTGGGCAATGTGAAGTACTGGCCTGGGCGCCAAGAGAGAGACAGACACTTCTAAGCTGTGTAAATAGCATGTGGTTTTGAGCGTGGGCCAGACGTGGATTAAAACACATTTAAAGCTGCATCGGGTGCAATTAAGAGCGAGTAATGGGGCAGGCGAGATTAACTCTTTTGATTGCTTTCAAACTTCTTGCGGATTTTCGCGTCAGATTTCATAGCGCACTGCAGTTTTTATGCTTTCAGGAGGTGTAGTTCAAACTTCACGAGCGTTAACTGGAACGTGCATCACATTTGTTATTATTTTTTTCCCATTTTAGCCATTTTTGCACCTTGTTTTACTAATGTTGTAGTCTCTGGTTCTAAAGGCCTGTTTGCTTTGGCATGCGAGTTTGAACCAAGCCTCTTTGTGACCTGTGAAATCTTATATGAATGGTTATCTAACGGACTTGCTTTTAGATGTATTGCTAATCAGTGTACATTCACAAATAAAACTATTTTAAGAAACAAACGCTGCACTCGGGAGTCTGTGGGGACGGAAACTTGCTTGCATTATCACTTTTTTTTTTCACTGTATGCATTTCATTGCATTTTTCAGTTGTTCATACACATTCATTTCATCGTTCTGAAACACAAATGTTTGTGATTTAATGAGAACATTTAAGGTCAAAGGTTTACCTCAGAATGACTTGCTTTTCCTTCATGCCGTTTTGAACCTGGTTTTTGTTCTGTGGGACATGAAATGAGAAATTTGAGATGTTCATGCTGCTTTTTTCTGATAAGACTTAATAATACTGGCCTCCAAATAGAATAAATGAAATATCTGTGACACTGATCTGAAATTGGAAGAAGAACTAATAGTGTGCACCATTGCATTGCCAATAGGGTTGTCTCGATACTGGAATTCGGTACCAATCGAAACCGAAATCTTAAAAACATCAATTTCCTGCTAACATTTGAGCACTGTTAAGCACGTTCTTAAACAGCGCTGATTTGCCATTGTGTTCAAGAGCTCAACAGAAATGACTGTGATTGGCCGTGAAGGACATCAGTTCTCCACTGCTGTTTACTGTGTTACCACAGATACAGGAGCACTGGATCATTTTAAAGCCATGATTCATTAGCGGATAACTTGTATGACAGCTTATAGACAAACCAGCTGATCGAGGTGACTTTGAAATGCTTTAGTGTCCTTGCTTTTAGTACCTTAGTTACATTCAGCAAACAGTGGTGAGTTCGGTGAACTGATGACCTTCACGGCCAATTAGAGTTATTTCTGTTGAGCACTTAAACACAATGTCAAATGAGCGCTGTTTAAGAATTTGTTCAAAAGCGCTCAAATGTTTACAGGAAATGGACGTTTTTAATATTTCAGTATAGTATTCCAGTATCGTGACAACCCTAATTGACAAGTTCTGCAGGTTTATATCTAGTCTCACTTTGTATTTTCATTGAAGTGGATGACCTGTGTGTAAAATGTATCAAGCATGTACTCTCATGAAGTTGAAAAAGCATCCCGTTGTATTGCTTTCATAGTGAAAGTCAAATACGTTCATATGGCCGTAAAAGGCCACCTACTGTCTTCATTCTGATTAAATCTGTAAACATTAGAGTGCACTAGTCAGGCAAGGATTTAAACTTGGCCATCAGATATCCTAAGATGGGCTTGAAGGTAGAGTAAAAAGCATTTTTGCTAATAAATCATTTGTTATTATACATTGTAAGCAGCTTATGTTTTCGGTGTGCTGTTTCTAGTGCATCTGACCAGTGAATCCAGCTCGTGTAATCCATCTAATCAGTGGATTTAGTGATTGCAGTCAGTGTAGTGGATTAAAAACCATTCAGATAATTTTCCTCAACATTTTCAGAGGGAACACGAAGATGATAACAGAGTTACTTTTATTTATATTCTCAAAGTAACAGGTGAGCATAAAGGTTTTAAAATGACCTTTCAGAAAGATAAAGGCAGTAAAAAAAAAAGTCAGCCAAGAACATTTTTTTTTTTTGTTATTAAAGCCCAAAATTTCAGCAGAAGTACCCGAAAACTGGGGGACACAAAGGTGTCTGTCTAACACATTTACATAAAAGACAATGGAAGAACTGTACAAAAGTGATCAATTCCAGTATATTGCGACAATATTTAAATATAGATTTCTTAAATTATATAATAGTTTTAAATTTAATTTTACATTCATTCATTTTCAAAAATGGAGCACTAAGATGGGTGATTCAGACTGTGGGCAAAGACTTTTGATATACCATGACCTTGAGTTATTTTAGCATATTTTATTTTGCAGTTATATATTGTTTCTCTTTAAAATGTAATCTTCATAATGTCAACTAGCAGTAGAAAAGTGGATATATTGATTATTGTGACATGCCTAGCGTTCAAAATATCACATACTGTATTCCTTCTGACCAAACATTACAGGTTGATAAAGTGCACTAGTCAGGCAAGGATTTAAGCTAGGCCATCAGATATTTCAAAATTGGTTTGTCAGTACAGTAAAAAGCATTGTTGCCTTAGAAATCAATTGGAATTACACTTAGTAACCAGCAGATGTCCTCTGGGTTGTTTTTAGCACATCTGACCAGTGAATCCAGCTTGTGTAATCCATCTAATCAAACAGTGGGTTTAGTGATCGCAGTCAGTGTAATGGAATACAAACACTCAGATAATTTTCAGCATTTTCAAAGAAGGGAACTAAAAACCAATAACTGAAGTGTTTTTATATGTTTATACCCGAAGTAATAGATGAGCATAAAGGTTTTAAAATGACACTTCAGACTTAAAATGCAAGTGACACGAGAGTGAAAAGTAAGCCAAGAGACTTTTGTTCCTAAAGTGGAGCAACTTATGACATGTAAAACCAAAAATATTTGGAACAAGTATCCAAAACACCATGGAACACAATAATCTATCTGTCTAACATATTTACAAAGAAAAGAAAAGAAAAGGAAAACAGCATAAGGACGGTGATGTAGTCAATTCCAGTGTGCAACATATGCAATATAATTCAGCTTTATTTCTCACTATTGCGAGTTAGATTTTACTAAAATTCATTTACATAAAAAACAAATGCCAAAGTTATCACCATTTCCTGTATATTCCAATTACAGTGGTCCCTTGCTATAACGTGGTTCACCTTTCACAATCTTGACGTTTTTCGGATTTTTTTGTGTGTCCAATTTGACATGCCTTTATTTCCAGCGCATTGTGTTCTGCGACCTGATAGGCTGTAGATCATTGTAAATCAATCCTCCCCGTGTCTTCTGTGCACTACAGAATGCATTATGCAAGCCAAATTAATATAAATTTTTGATTGCCAGCAGTGTGAGTTTCAACAAGGAAGGCTTGTAACTGTCTGTAACACCACTGGGTACCATCTGAATACTTTTATTTTAAATAACATGCGAAAGTGTGTGTCCGCTGTGTGTTACTTCCAACTGAATGGAGTCTGCTTTAGCTTTGTGGATCCGTGAGTGCAGGAAAAAGAACATTATCTGCACAAAAGCTAAAAAGTTTTATGAACTTTTTGCTGACAGTGATGAATGTTTGCGCCTGACAACAGGTTTTAGTTTATTCTGTAATGCTGGACTTATTTTTCTAGAAAAGTTTGAAATTTGAGTGATAAAATGAGAGAATAGTGTGAAAATATTAATCCTTGTCTAAGAAAAGTGTATAAAGTGTGTAGTTAGAGGTTTTACAGCCTGAAAACATCTATAATAATTGTAAAAAAAATAAAAAGCTGGCTATGCAGATTTCGCCTATCGCGGGATATTTTTAGAGCCTAACTCCCGTGAATAATGAGGGACCACTGTATATATACTGGTATATAACAATTATTGTTATAAATGAATATAGTGGCCTTCAAATGCCATTCACATACATGCATTTTCAAAAAAAACTTACGTCCAAATACATTTCACCAAGTTTGATCTTGCTGTAGTTTTTATGTGGCAATCTACAATTTTAGCACATACCTGAATTTACCACAACAAATGCTGCTTCAGGCTGTAACTGAGTTTTTTTTTTTTTTTTTTGACGTCTTTTGCCACAGTTCTGATTTTTACTTATTTTTTTGGAGTTGTGAACTGAATAAAACGTGCATTTACCTTTATTTTTGTATGTTTTCTAACATATCAGAAGCTGGTTCCTTTAAACAGTGGAGTGCTCAGGGCCAGAATTCTTAAATGAAAAGTATTATCAACATGCATAGTGTTTCCATTTTTTATACTGTATATTGCAACAATTATCATTCTAAATGAATACAGTAGCTTTTAAAAGCCATAAAAGCCATTCACATCTATGCATTTAAAAAAAAATTCAGATACCTTTTAACAAATATGATGTTGCTGCTCACTGCAATTTCAGCACATATTTAGCACAGCAGAGGGTGCTTCAGACTGTGGGCAAAGTCTTGAAATGCCAAGACTGCATAGTGTACACTAGCCATTGCAAGAAACGTCAGAATCTGGACATAAAAATGTGCATTTACCTTTATTATTATTTTATTATTATTATTATTTTGCTTTTATAGCATATTAGAAACCTGTTCCTTTAAAAACAGTCTATGAGGGTGCTTCGGGCCAGAAGTCATAAATGAAAAGTATCAAATTATCAACATGCACAGTTTCACCTTTTTGATATATTGCAATAATTGTCATTCTAAATGAATACAGTAGCTTTCAAATGCCAATAACGTCAATGTACAAAAAAAATCTAATTTTTAGCACATTTTTAAAATGACATATTTCAGCACATATTTAGCACAGCAAGGGGTGCTTCAGACGGGCAAAGTCTTTTAATATGCCAAGACTGTGAGTTTTTTAGCATATTTTGCTGGTTTATTTTTTTATAACAGTTTTGAGCTGTATAATGTAAATTAGCCGTGTCAAGGAAAGTCATAATTTGGACATAAAAACGTGCATTTACCTTTATTATTATTATTTTATTTGTGCTTTTGTAGCATATTAGAAACTGGATCCTTTTAACAGTGTATGGGGGGTGCTCAGGGCCAGAAGTCATAAATGAAAAGTGAGGTTTTTTTAGTATATGTTGCAGTTCTGATTTATTTTTATAAACAGTTGTGAACTGAATAATGTAAACTAGCAGCTGCAAAAAAAAAAAAAAAAAAAAAAAGTCAAAATTAGTACATTAAAAACGTGCATTTACCTTTATTTTGATCTTTAATCACTAATAACAAACTGGTTCCTTTAAACTGTATAGAGGGTGCTCAGGGGTCAGAAGTCATAAATGAAAAGTGTCAAATTATCAACATGCAGTTTCACCATTTGTTCAGTCCATGAAGACATGACCAGTTTAATGGTATTGAAGTGGCTTTTGTTCTTATTTATGGCAATATAATAACTGATGAATGCACTTTTGGCCTCAATTGCCCTCCATACAAAGTGCAAAGAGAATATATACTGAAAACATGAGGCCGCAGACTGAACAAATTTTGTCTGTAAGTGACTTTGTGCACATTTGTAAAAAACATGCTTA